CTATATATATATATTTGGGGGGAGAACAAATTCCTATGCCCCACAAATAACCCAGAGATGCATTTCAAATAAAAGGACACATTCCACTCATGTAAAAACACGCTGATTCCCAGACCGTCCGTGGGGCGGATTTAGAAGGCAATTGGGCCAGATCCAGCCCCTGGCCTTAGTTTGCCTACCCATGGTTGAACGGTCTTCCGGAACGGATTACATTCGACAACTAAGGTTCCACTGTATTTCAAACAGTTGACTACATATTGTAGGTCATACAGCCTTTTCTGGTAATTCTTTAACTCATCACCCTGGCTTTTATATCGGTGGGGACCAGACAACTATATTGGAGAGTAACTGAACACAGCAAGAGCGTAATGAGAGCCAGCTGGATCGTGCCAATGGCCACTGCTTTTTAAAAAAAGAAAAGAAAAAGGGAAATGGTGCTGGTACTAACCATGAAGTGGTCACAGTAAGTGCCATACTTTAAACATAGGTTGAGGGGAAGATGCTGGTAAAAAAAAGCACTGCCAATGGCCCTTCTAGTCCAGCACAGTTAACTGTGGTCAACTAGATACCTGTGGGGAACCTGCAAGCTGAGCCAAAGAACAAGAACACTCCCCACCCCCCTGCCTCCAACTGGGGAACACTCCCCACCCCCCTGCCTCCAACTGGGGAGCACCCCCAGAAGCACTTCCTGCCTCCAACTGGGGAGGCAGAGCACAGCCATTGTGGCTAGTGGCCACTGACAGCCTTCTCCTCCGTGAAATTTGTCCAATCCCCCTTTAAAGCCATCTAATTTGGTGGCTATCGCTGCTTCCTGTAGGAGAGAGTTCCATAGTTTAATCATGCACTATGTGAAGGACATCTGTCCTCAACCTTCCAACCTTCATTTGATGCCCACAAGTTCTCCCCCTTACAAGAGGTGGAGAAATACTTTTGTCTCTCCATTTTCTCCATACTATGCATAATTTGGCAAACTTCTATCATGTTGGCTCTTCCTCGCCTTTTCTCTAAACTAAAATGTCCCAAATGCTGCCACCTTTCCTCCTAAGGGAGTCTCTCCATCCCCTTGATCATTTTGCTTGGCCTTTTCTGAACTCTACAATGGCAGACTGAGTAGGGAGCCTTCAGCGATGTGACGGTGGTGGCAAGTCCTTGGGCAATGAACCATGGTAATAAGACCAGGCAGGGGTGTTACAAATGTGTTCTGTTTTCACCTGTGAAATGCCAGAGGTTATGGCACTCTCCATGAACACTGGAGACAGCTGGCACCCAGGAGCACCCTTCATTGTAAAGCCAACAAGCTGAAAGACATGATCTGCAAAAAAATAATAATCCTAGGGCTCTCTATAAATTCCTACTAAAATATACTGCTTTGCTTCCAAGTGGAGTTCAGCTACAGACTTCCAAGTGAAAACTGCTTATGTTTCCCTCCAAAGAGGCCAAGGAGTGAAAGAGGAGGGGTGTGTGGGTGTAGGGATATGGTGCTGAAGTGGAGCAGGAGGGGCGGAAATAAAAACATGTTCCCCCTTTCCCTTCCACTCTGGTTGAAACAAAGGCCCCTTTCTTCTGCTCAGCTCCTGCCCCATCAGCACTGCATTTATTCAAGGGATGGTGGCTGGCAGGTAGCTGCCTTAATTGGGCAATGCTGCCTCTCGCCATCCATCCAGAAGGGAAACAATACAAATCTGCAGCTGGTATTCAGCCCGAGGGCTGCCCTCACCCAAGGATTAAAAGGAACTGCTATCCCCACACACTTCAGCCCCAACCCCTGCAGCTGGAACTAGTTAAAATGGCTTATGTTTCTGAACTGCAGTCATTCCCATCACCTCTGAGTAACTGGGGGATTCTGGGCACCTCTGGAATCCAGATGCAGAGGCCAATTTGACATCGAAACCCAATATTTGTGTCTCTCACACTCTCCTGCCTTCACGCCTAACTCTGAGGGGGATGGACAGCAAGGCCATATCAATTTGACAGAGATATGCTGCCTTGGAAGCTTTGTGTCGGCAGCAACGGAGTGATTGATACTGCAATACCTTTGATAACCAAAGTGCTACTAATTCATGCTTGCCCATCTGATGGATGGGTGAAGATCTCAGAAGGAAGGGGTGCTGTCTCAGGAGCTGCCTAACCAGAAATAAGGGCCATTCATTGTGTACAATAGCACACTGTTGGTCTGAAATGCAGCTATCCTTTATGATAAATCCATGTGGTTTGAAATAAGGAACATCTGGAAACATAGTACTCAAGTTACAAGGGAGAGGCCACTCTCCCCATTACTCCCTTTTCATCAGGCAGAACTGGAAAGGTAGCTAGGGGCCATTTCATACATGATGTTTTATTTACCTAAACGGATTTGGGGGAGGGGGCAAGAATAAGTACACCATCATGTGTGAAGACAGTGCACTCATCTATTTCAGTTCCTTGGAGGGTCCTGCAATGGGAACAGGTGCATTTTTACTTGGCAAAAGAAGCTAAGAGCATTGCACCATGTTAAAGATCAACAGCAGTTTCACCGGGTGAAATTTACAGACTTTCAGTTGTTTGCAATGAGCAAATCAAAGAAAAGCCACTGAAATAGCTCAACACAACAGGTGCTTCAAGTGGTTCCCCCAAATTCAGCTGAAATTGCAACTTATACTGGCTTCCCCAGTCTCACTATTATTCAACCCCTTGAATGGAATCCCTGTAGATTTTGATAATAAACCTGATTTGAAATGGGAGTTGAATAATTTCGATTGCAACTGTACATGCTTGCTGAATATGCACATTTTCTGCAAACAAACAAACAAACAAACAAACAATCTCTATAATCATACATTTGTATGCCACTCTCTCTTAAAGGCCCACTTTGTTGGGGTATGCACATTTCTGTGCCTATTACTTGGTTGGAGAAGTTCAGGAAAGCGCAAATCTTGGGTGGCTGTGTTTTAGTTCTCATAAAGTGCAGATTAGTAAAAGGCGAAAGATTTATACGATCTGAAGAGAAACCAGAGCTTGAAACGGTGAAATCAGCCATGATTAAATGGGCACAAGACATTGGTCATGACATTATGTTTGCCGACTGGGAACAGTTATGGACCACCGGTGTTAAGTTTACGGCATGTAATGCCTTAAGAGAAAACATAATGAAAATGATTTACAGGTGGTACATGACCCCAGTCAAGCTGGCAAAAATTTATCATCTGCCCGATAACAAATGTTGGAAGTGTAAAGAGACTGAAGGTACCTTCTACCACCTTTGGTGGACATGCCCGAAGATTAAGGCCTTCTGGGAAATGATCTATAATGAAATCAAAAAGGTACTTAAATGTACCTTCTCGAAAAAACCAGAGGCCTTTCTCTTGGGCATTGTCGGCCAATTGGTGACAAAGAGGGATAGAACTTTCTTTATGTATGCTACAACAGCAGCAAGAATACTCATCGCAAAGTATTGGAAGACCCAAGATCTACCCACTTTGGAAGAATGGCAGATGAAAGTGATGGACTATATGACATTGGCCGAGATGACAGGCAGAATCCGTGACCAACGAAAGGAGACGGTGGAAGAAGAATGGAGAAAATTCAAAAGTTATCTTAAGGACTACTATAAACTTAATGAATGCTAAAATGTTGTGGTTTTCAGAAATAAAGGGATACAGGGATATAAGGTTAGAAATGTAAAAAAGGACTAAGAAGATAGAGACTGGAAAATAACAATTGGGAGTTGCTATTGAACTTTGGACATTGGGATGCAGAGAGGGGGGGTATGGGGAAGTCAAAGGAAAGAAGTTTATGAAAATATGTTTGAAACTATACGTGTAGGTTTGTCATTTTTGGTGTTTGTTTGTTTTTTGTTTAAAAAGTTTCTAAAACCAATAAAAATTTTATAAAAAAAACAACAACATAAAGTGCAGATTAGGGAGCTTTAAAATGCAAACCAAATCTAGTTTCTCCCCCACCCTTACTATAGAACCATCAACATATCTCCCAGCCTTTATCTTCTTTTCTCCCTAAAACTGCCATTACCACCCTTTCATCTGCCCTCAAACCCCTTCCTGATTGGCTGGGTGGCATTTCCTTGAACTCTGATGCCCAGGTCCTGACAGATGAGAGACTCAAGTAGATAGGTAACCTATCTGAAGGGCTGCTATTTGATCGATTTACAGTAAAACGAAACCTTTGTAGTAAAAGGAACCCTCAGTCTGATTTCAAACCCCCAAACCTCCATACATAAGCTGGACAGAGGAAATCCTTGTTAGAGTCTGATTTATTTTCTACACATTCCAATCTGATTTATTAGACAGGATTTGGCTAGGGAATTTGCCTTGCAGAAGCAGACATTATTGCTCATTCAAAACAATACTTTTCTCTCTCGCTCGCTAAAGACTCGCTATACATTTTGAAATCATGAGATGCACTAGCTACTTCAAAACCCTTGCATGGTCCATTTGTGTCTGAATTTCCCTCCCTCCCTCTCTCCCATGTGTGTGTAAATGTATCTGCATTTTATTTATTTTTACCTTATTAAAAATAAAATAAAACATCTAGCCCTCTGATCATCTACTGAGGGGATGCAATAACATAAAACTTAAAGTGAAAATAGCACAATTCACAAAACAACTGAAAGAGGTTAAATATATTACAGTTAACATACAATCATAAAGCTGCTCTAAAGGTACGGAACATCTCTCTCCCATGGACTGGGGGAAAATAGAACCCCACAAGTGCCTGGGTAAATAAATAGGTTTTAAGCTGGTGCCAAAATGAGATAAAAGTCACTCCCAGAGGGGAAAGCATTTCAAAAAGGAAGACCCTGCTTTCCCAATTGCACAATGAACCTTTTGCCCAACGATGAATTCCGAGGAGGGTTACCTCTGACAATTTTAAAATGGGCCTGCTAAGCACCCCCTAGGGCAATCAGAAATTTGACCCTATTTTTTAAATAATTCAGAAATGGCAATAAACATTTTAAAAAAACAACAACAGCATATGTATAATTCAAAAATGTTTTCAAAACTTACCCGCAAGAATGTCTAGAAGTCAAGTTTAAAGGAAGGGAGAGATGAAGATGTGAGCACACTAGTGAGAGTGAGATAATGCTGCCCTCTTCAAATATTCAGTTGCCAGACCCAATAATTTTAGGTGCCAGTGGATTCTTCCACCTATCCTGTTATGACTGACACCTCCCTTTTCAACTCATTCCTGTTGTGCTGAAGTTGGTTAGTTCACATTACTGTGTGCTGAGCATGTCACATAACTATTTTAACACAACTTCCAATTCCAAGTTGGTAACTCCTCACAAGACTTCCAGAAGTAGGTTAGAGAGAGGAAGTTCAGAGGCATGGCAATTCACACAACCAGCTCACAACGTTGCACATTCAAGCAGAAATTTACTTCACCATGTAATGTCAAAGTAGTGAGTTCAAGATTATCACAACTGACCCACAGACTGATTTGGGGTGAAATGGAAGGGGGAGAACTCAGGGTAAGTTCATAAGACCTGAAGTGTCTGATAAGCTACAACAATATATGGTGCTGCTGCTGAATTTTGTGGACTCCAAAAGTGGATCCAATGAGCCGTCAAGATTCTTTATTTTAAAATGTGTAACCCCTCTTTTTGAGGAACTTCCTCCATAAAGCTGCTTACAATATCCAGTAAAAACCAACTCCACCTCACAATAAAATGTATTTCTTAAAAATACAAAATATAGTACAACTAAACAATAAACCAGCATAAGTCCCCTTGATGGCAATTCAGAAGGAACAGAAAACACCAACAGAGAGTTCTTACCTCATCGTCCTTGTACCATGAGAGGTTCTCAGCCGTCAGGACGAACCAGTACTCTTTGGAGCCACCCTTCATGATGCCAATGTTGTTGATGGTGAGCCAGCCCTTGCGGATCACCTGTGTTATAAAAACGTATCATTGTTACGCATGCCAGGAGCTGACTCAGTGGATAAGAAGAGAATGGCATTACACACACAAACATAGCAGCATATCAAACAGCAGGGCTGGTCCAACAGCTGCTTGGATATCCTCTATGGAGGATGAACCTACGCCAGCAAACTGAGACCTGCTTAAAAACAGGAGAAAGAGCCAGACCAAGAAGGCAAGAACTTGCTTATCTTAGTTCATATATCCTCTGCCAAGAACACATGAGAAAGGCTCTAGGGCAGAGATCTATAGGGCTGCAGTGAAGAGCAACAAAACCTCTGATGCCTTTGCCAGACACCAGAAAACAAATCATAGTAAGAGGTCCAAGTCTGAAGTCAGGAAGGTACACACCATTCAGCAAGACTTGGAAGGGGAAGTCTTATTGGGTTGCAAGGTGAGTATTAAAAAGACATTTCAAAAGACCAGAATCAAGGGCTATGGTGTTCCAGAATAAAATAAGAGGAACATCTCAAGAACAACAGACATCTGGGAGCCCCAGTTTTTCCATTCTTGATGGTGGGGATAAACAGGGCTCTGTGTACTCTGTAATTCAGTGCAAGTGCAGGGAACCCCCATCCTCACAACTCAGTTTTCATTTTGTCAAAGGAAATTTCTACCTGATATGACTACCAAAATAGATTTGAAAATGTGTTGGCAATATCCAGCCAAATCCCAGGAGTTATATCAGGATTTCCTGTGGTCATCGAAGGTGGTTTCAGAACCACATGCCACTCTCCTTCATACGAATTAAGTATGCAGAATTTGGCATCCCCTGACATATGCCATACAAGCTGGAGAGTTCAGCTTATCTTTGCATGGTACCTGTGTTGCTTTGGCACAGTTTTTAAAAAAATCTGCAGTACACACAACCGTGTTTAGACCCCACTCCGTAGCAAAGATTGACTAGATCAAACAAAATAAAAAGAGGATTGCAATCAACAAACAATTGAGTTAATAGCATTTTTAAAAAACAACAGTAAGTATCTGGAAGCAAAGGTGCATCTGGAATTGATATCCTGGATTTAATATGTGTTTGTGTGTGAGAGAGAGACAGAGACAAAGAGAACGAGAGTGCTGTACTTGGGAGGTGCGTTGTCACTACACCAAGAAACAATCAGCCTGCAGCAAACTACAGTCTGAAAAATCTTTTAGCATGAACCATCTGTGTTCCACGAGGAAAACGGAGTATTACAAAGACCAACACAACTGCTAAACTGACTGATTTTCTTTCTTTCTTTCTTTCTTTCTTTCTTCTTGTGAAGACAATTGCACAACTACTGCCTCTCATTCTGCAACAGCAACACCACCATCAACATGTCTAGCTACATGAGTCTATGACACTCATGCAAGTTGTGGTAACGCTACAGTTAGTGGTTTGCCATGACCATGCCAATGGCCCCTGCATCCTCTCCTAGCACAAGGGGGGGGGAGGGAATAAGCCATAGTCCCTGAATTAACATTTGGTCTCAACTGAGGACTGTGGCTTGTTTCCCGCCACATAGCCGAGGGCTTCACCACACTCACCGTTTGTCCACTCTTTTCCAAGCATAGGTCTGCACTTTGAGGCTCCATGTCTGGGTGCTCTTTCAGGTTTTCTGTGAGTTGCTGGATTCAGCTTTAAAGAGTGGCTTTTCATGGGGGAAGCTCTAGAGCAAAAAAGGGCACTCAGATATGGAGTTCTAAAGCACAGACTGCCTGGAAGGCATAGAGGAAAGTAAGTGTGGATAAGCCCCAAGATGTAAAGCCAAGGTTTGGTCTTGGTTTCTTTGAGCAAAACAAATCATAGTCCCTAGACAAAAAGGCTTGTGGTTTGTTGTCCCTGCTTGCACTAGAGAGGAAATGAAGAGGAAGAGAAACCAATTTGCACATTGACAGTAAACCATTAACTGCAGCTTGCTATCATGTGTGCACTGGGCTGTTCATAAGGTAGCCATGTGTCCTACTTTGCAATGTAGGCAATGACAGGTTTCTACCATATTTTCCGCTCTATAACATGCACCCGACCATAACACGCACATAGTTTTTAGAGGAGGAAAATCCGTAGGCATGCAATAACACACACAGACATTTCCCCTTACTTTTTAGGAGGAAAAAAGTGAGTGTTATGGTGCAAAAAATACGGTATTTTGAAAGGCTGTCAGATGGCAGTCCTCTATTTGAAAGTATTCTCTATCTGAGGGTTGTCAAGTCCAAGTCTAGCTTAAAGATAAAGGAACCATAAAAAGGGAGAGGAACTTTGAAGTTGCCCACAATGGCTAGTTAGTAGAACCTGGTCAGCAGACTGAGCAGGCACAGAAATTACCTGGTGCCTTCTCTACTATTGTAAGAGGTATCCTGTTTCTATTTAAATTATAGTAATTATTTCTGAATTTGCATTTGTACATATGAATTACCACATGCCAGCTTCTGTAATTCTTGAAGATTCTGTATTCTTGGATACCAGGCACTGTATCCATCCCCTTAATGCTTGATTAAAACTTTATAATAAAGTTTTAGTGCAGGTATGAGCGCTCGAAACTCAAAGACAGCCTGAACATTTAATTGCCAAATTTCTTTTGCAAACCAGTTTCCCCCCCCCAAAAAAAATGGAACCATCACACTTTTTAGCACACCTGGATTATAATTTAGAAGGGTTGCAAGGGAATAGGGAGGTGGGATAAACTTCTTTGGCGAAGCCACTCTGGTCCCTGGGTTATAAGGAATAGCTGCTCTGAAAACACCTGGAAGAAAAATCTGGAAGCCAAGAAAACTCCACTTGTTAAATAAAATAAATTCATCCAAGTATGCATGTGTGCCTCCTACAGGCCCTGAATAAAGAGGGAGGTTTTTGTGGGGAGGGTTGTATTCGGATTCTTTCTTTCTTTAACTCATGGGATGTATTTGAACAATCATCTCAGCTTAACAACAAGATAGCATATGAAGCTATAATTTGATGTTGGCTTAAGATCCTGGCTTGTTTTGAAGCCATTAGCCACAGTTTTCTGGTTCAGATAAAATGGAAAACTATGGTTAATTGAAGATTTCCCCCTGATTCAATGACTCCTGGTGCAAAAGTAGGAGTGAAGGGCCAGAATGTACAAACCATACCACTCTTATCTAGACTTTCTTTCTTCTTACTCCTCTTTCTTTATTATTTATTTCATCTTGGAGAGACCTACTTCTGCTTCCACTACAGCCTCCTGGTTTTAATCTTCTTATTAATTACAGCTAATCCCCCCCCAGCTATACTCAGAAACAGACTAATTATTAACACATGAAGGGAAGCAACATTACAGAAAAGTAAACTTCACTGGAAGGAAAGCAGTATGAAGATGTGTAAGATATTACGGCATTACAATCACTTATTTAAATAAAGATTGTTTATTTGTTTACAAAGATAGTCAACTTAACTCAAAAGCTTTACACTGCCTCCCTTCCCTTGACTCGTCAATCTTCATTCGTTTTGCTATCTCTGTGACTGATGTCAGAGAGCGAGATCTCATGTCGGATCCCCCATTCCTGCTGCCATGGAAACATCTGGGGAGGCCTGGGAAATAGCTCAGATCCAAAGAACCCAAAGCTAACACGCCCCCAAACCAGGAAGAGATTTAGAGCAGCTCCCAAGCTAGTCTGAATTTCCCTTGACAAAAGAAAAAGTGCAGAGGAGTTGAAGGGCTATCCTTTGACCTCACGTCTGCCCTGCCAGTGAGACCTCAGCAGGGCTTTGGATGGGCAGTTAAACCAACTTCAGATTCCACACATCAAAAACATATAATTTAGGATTGCACAGTCATTGGATGAAAATATATCTCATAGTTAATCTTTAATTTAGCAATGCACAAATCATGCAACACCACAATTTATCTTTCCAGTTTTTCCATCGTCTATTTAACCTACATGTGGAATAAGGTATCAGCAAAATGCATGTGTTTGTATTGGTTCCCTTTAAGGCCAACAAAGGAGAATTCCACCATATCTTTTGCAAACCTTTGGACCTAGATGTCATCCTTCCACATTTTAATGTGAAACTATTTCCTGCCCTAACTTCTAGTTCTAATAAAATGTAAGGGACTCCTTTGTTGCCTTGGAATAATTTCAAATCCAGGTCAGAGTGGTTCTTATTTCTGGTTGAAATAAAATCCCTTAATGGGAAATATTGAAATAAATGGAACAGACTCATGATTCATTTGAAGCCCTAGTTCATCTAGGCATCCAGTTCTTCCCTGCTCCACTTCAACAAGTATTGTCAAGCCATGTGCACTCAAATTGAATTTATTCCCAGGCAAGTCTCCTTTTTCCTATTTATAACTTCACTGGTGTTTTAAATACACAGTGTATTTGTATGCTTGTTGTTGTTTAGTCGTTTAGTCGTGTCCGACTCTTCGTGACCCCATGGACCAGAGCATTTGTATGCTAAGGTAAAGGTAAAGGTAACCCTGCCCGTACGGGCCAGTCTTGACAGACTCTAGGGTTGTGTGCCCATCTCACTCTATAGGCCGGGAGCCAGCGCTGTCTGCAGACACTTCCGGGTCACGTGGCCAGCGTGACAAGCTGCATCTGGCGAGCCAGCGCAGCACACGGAATGCCGTTTACCTTCCCGCTAGTAAGCAGTCCCTATTTATCTACTTGCATCCGGGGGTGCTTTCGAACTGCTAGGTTGGCAGGCACTGGGACCGAGCAACGGGAGCACACCCCGCCGCGGGGATTTGAATCGCTGACCTTTCAATCGGCAAGTCCTAGGCGCTGAGGCTTTAACCCACAGCGCCACCCGCGTCCCTATTTGTATGCTAGTCTATATTAAAATATGGTTGCATCTTTTAGTGGTGAGCTGCTCTATACTTGCAGCTTGTGGTGTGACTTTAAGCAAGCATGCCTAGCATCTTTGCCTAAAATCCCTTCACACGGCAACATATTGCACTTCAGCAATTGGATTTTCAGTGCTTACAGCCTAGTGCATTACTGCGAAACCAGCTTCCCATTTGCTGCATTACTACTGCAAGTCCTTTAGGAAGCAGGTTCCTTCCTCCAGGCAAGAGTGAGCCATCCAGGCTGCCCCAATTATTGCTCTGTCCAGCCATGTAAACTGTGCAACGAAGGACGCAGTTGCCGTCCAAGTGCATATAAAGAGTTAGGTGCACAGGAAACAATGGGGCACAGTCCTTTCCACCAAACTACAGGAAGTCATGGCCACAATAATTCTGGTATTCTCTAAGCAGAAAACACAAATTCTGCAACCGGAATTAAGAATCTCTCCCGCCACCCCATAGCACGGCCTATAGCAGACCTGAGCAACTTAAGGCTGAACACAGCTTCGATAGCCATGTATTGCAACCTGCTATCTGATTGACAGCTGTCACGTTCATTTTTCCGCCCAAGGCAGCCAGCAACAGAAAGAGGGTTACTTAGCCACCAGACATGGCTGGTATGTACTGCTGGCTGAGTTGTAGAAGCCAAACTTATAGGAACAGCATCCTAACAATCCATAAGATATCTCTGGTCCACCTAATAGCAGACTACATGCGATAGCAGCAAATCTATAATTTTGGACAAAACCTTATTGCTAATCACGTTTAAAGGAGGCAGGTGTCGGGGGGTTAGTTTAAACCCCAAAGGGGTACAAATGTAAGGGAGACAGAATCCTCTTCCCCATCTACTAGTCTTCTTCAGCCCACCAGGGGTCCCGTGTCCAGTTTTGGGCACCACAGTTAAAGGAGGATATTGAAAATCAGTGCTGCATAATGGTTAGAGGGTTGGACTAGGAGCTGGGAGACCAGGGTTCAAATCCCAACCCAACCATGAAGCTCATTGGGTGACCTTGGGCCTAACCTACCTCACAGGGTTGTTGTGTGGATGAAATGGGGGGGGGGAGAACCATGTACACCACCTTCAGATCATTGGAAGGTAAAAGTGGTATATAAATGTAATAAATAAATAAAATAAAATAAATGTGGAGAGGAGGGCGACCAAGATGATCAAGGGTCTGGAAACCAAGACGATTGTTCTATGGCTCTATCACTGCCTGAAGTCCACTTTCATTGCACCCATGACCTGATACCAGAAGTGAGCTCAGGTGGGAGAAAATTGCTTGGGAATTCAGTAACCCATGCTAGAAACCCTATGGGTACTCTAAATCAGTGTTTCCCAACCACTGTTCCGCGGCACACTAGTGTGCCGCGAGATGTTGCCTGGTGTGCCGCGGGAAAAATTAAAAAATTGAAAGATTTTTTTTTTAAGTCAAATTTTCGATTGGGGCGCCGTCACTAGATGACCCCTGGGGTTCCCTCCCTCCCTCCCGCTCTGCGCCTCCCTCCTCCTCCTCCTCCGGGGAGGCCCTTCCTGGCTCTCGGCCAAGGCTTGGCGGCTGCCACTCACTTACTCGCTCGCCCACCCGTCCCTTCATCCCTGCACCCGGCCTCTCCCCCTCCGCCCCCGGTGCGGGGGCTGTCGGGATCCGTAGTCCCCTCGCCCTTGGGCTCCGCGCCCGCACGGGGTGCGCGAACTACGTTTCCCAGCGTGGCCTGGCGGGCCGGGCGTTTTGTTTGAAGCGCTCTTCTCCCGGCCATGGAATGAGCGCAGCGGCGGTGGCCAGGCGGGCAGGGGCTCTTCCGCGCAGACCCCGCGCAGCCTGCCTGCGCCCCCCGGAGATCGGGCGGCAGGATGGAGCCCGGGGATCCCCGCGGAGGCGGAGCGGCGGAGGCGGAGGCTGCCCCCCAGGTAGGGCTGCATCGGGGTTTTTTTATTTTTGCAATGCTGCATCCGCGCCGGAGGGGACGCATCGGACCGCGGGGAGACCCCTTGGCGTGCGTGCAAGGCAATGCATGCGTGCAGGCGTTGCATGGAGTGCAGTGCAATGCAATGGCAACGCGGCGCCCTGCATGCATGCATGCATGCATGCAACTTCCACCGGCGCTCCGGACTTGGCAGGTGAGGGGGGTCCCCAGTGGGCGGCAGAGAGAGCCGGGAGGGCGAAGGGGAGCCGGGGGGGAGCAGCGCTGCTCCCCGAGCCGAGCCCGGGGGGAAACTTCGGCGTCGTTGCACCGGGTGTTGGAAGCGGAGGCTGGCGGGGGCCCCTCACCTGCAAAACCTGGTCGCCTCTCATATATTTCGTGCATTGCATTCATCGCCCGCTTTCTCCTCCAAGGAGCTCCCGGGGGCGCGCGTGGTTCTCCCCGTGTTATCCTCGCAACAACAGCCCTGCGAGGTGGGTCAGGCGAGTGGCCCAAGGGAGCACCCAGGGATTGTCCTGGCCAGGTGGGGTGATTTGAACCCTGCTCTCTGCCCGGTCTTCGTCCTCATTTAGCCCCCACATGTGCATGACTGTGCATGACTGAGGTTTTCCCCCCTCGTCTTGGCTATGGTGTGAGTCTGTGCTGTTAATTAATGGGGTTCTGCCTTCGGAGAAGATGAGCCAGCCCTCAAGGAGGTGATTATGTAATTTGCTAGCAATTCATGTCCCTCCCGGCGTGACGCTGCGCGCTGACGTCACGGGGCTGTAATGGTGGTGTGCCTCGAGATTTTTTTCATGAAACAAGTGTGCCTTTGCCCAAAAAAGGTTGGGAAACACTGCTCTAAATCACACCATCTCCCTGTTAGACATGATTGATAACAGGCTTGTGTTTCTGTAGTTTGGACCTGAAGGTGACACCACATATTATGCAGCAGACATGATTGCTGTAGCAACAATGGCATTATAATGGTTTCCCTCCTGCAAACACTGTTGACAGGTGAGTGACGTACCTGTGACTTTAAGCCAGAGGAGAGAGGAGGCAGATCAGGGTCTACTGGCAAATCACTGAACTGCAGGAGATTGGTAAGGTTTTCTAACTTGCAGTTGTGTTGTAATAGCAACAGCCTTCTAAATGTGTTTGTGGGAGGGGGAGTTATTGTTTAGCTGTTTCTGTTTTAACTATTTAATTGTGTTTTATCTCATGTTTTTATCTTGTGAACCATCCTAAGATTTTTACTATACTAATAATTTTATTATTTGTATTCCACCAATCTGACTGGGTTGCCCCAGCCACTCTGGGCGGCTTTCAGCATATACAGAAACATAATAAAACATCAAGTGTTAAAAACTTCCCAATACAAGGCTGCCTTCAGACGTCGTCTAAAAGTTGTGTAGTTCTTTATCTCCTTGACATATGAAGGGAGGGAGTTCCACAAGGTGGGTGCCACTCAGTGCTTTTTTTCTGGGGGAACACAGGTGTACACATGCCCCTAAACATTTTGTGAATCTAAGTTTGGCCTCATTGAGGGGCAGTATTTCAATATGAGTAGGAAAATGAGAGTACCCCTAAACATTCTTTTAGGGGGGGAAGCACTGGTGCCACTACTGAGAAGGCCCTCTGCCTGGTTCCCTGTAACTTCGCTTCTCGCAGGGAGGGAACCACCATAAGGCCCTCGGAGCTGGACCTCAGTTTCCAGGCAGAACGATGGGGGTGGAGACACTCCTTCAGGTATACTGGGCCAAGGCCGTTTAGGGCTTTAAAGGTCAGCACCAACACTTTGAATTGTGCTCGGAAACGTCCTGGGAGCCTATGTAGGTCTTTCAGGACTCGTGTTATATGGTCACCAGTCACCAGTCTAGCTGCCGCATTCTGGATTAGTTGTACTTTCTGGGTCACCATCAAAGGTAGCCCCACGTAGAGCACATGGCAGTAGTCCAAGTGGGAGATAAACAGGGCATGCACCACTCTGACAAGACAGTCTGCAGGCAGGTAGGGTCTCAGCCTGCGTACCAGATGGAGCTGATAAACAGCTGTCCTGGACACAGAATTGACCTGCGCCTCCATGGACAGCTGTGAGTCCAGAATGACTCCCAGGCTGCAGACCTGGTCCTTCAGGGGCACAATTACCCCACTCAGGACCAGGGAGTCCTCCACACCTGCCCGCTCCGTCTCCCAAAAAGAGTACTTCTGTCTTGTCAGGATTCAACCTCAATCTGTTAGCTGCCATCCATTCTCCAACCGCCTCCAGACCCTCACACAGGACCTTAACCATCCTCACTGATCTCGGATTTAAAAGAGAGGTAGAGCTGGGTATCATCCGCAGACTGATGAACACCCAGCCCAAATCCCCTGATGATCTCTCCCAGCAGCTTCATGTAGATGTTAAAAAGCATGGGGGAGAGGACGACACCCTGAGGCACCCCACAAAAGTGAGAGCCCAGGGGTCTGAACACTCATCCCCCACCACCACTTTCTGAACACGGCCCAGGAGGAAGGAGCGGAACCACTGTATAAAAGTGCCTCCAGCTCCTCTAGACAGTCAAGAAGGATACCATGGTCAACAGTATCAATTGCCTTTTGATGAAGGACATTATATAAATCTAATGAATAAATCTAATAAATAATAATAGTAATGAATAACCGTTTTCACTCTGTTCACCAACTAGTGACTTTCGCTCCCTCATTTTCTGTTCTGCCGGACATAGTATTAGGGTTTACTGTACTTTGTCTCCCTGCCCCGTCTGCAGCCAACGGAGGCACCCCAGCTTTTCCCCAGATGCACCTAAATTAGTACTTGTTAGCACTGCACATTGAGTGGCCTTTTTTACTCACCAGGATCTCATCCTGCAAAAAGAGGGCCATAGCAACAACAGCAGCAGCAGCAAAGACAGGAGCAAAGAAAGGAGAAATCATTACTCAAGAAAGCGGGAGGAGGAGAAAGAAACTAGGCTCCAAAAATAAAGGGGGAGGGGGGGAAATATAAATATATAACAAAACCAAACATTTATCACTAGAACCTTTTGCTAAATCAGCACTCTAGTTGCAAAAACAGCAAAAAGACCACAGCACAAAACAAAATCTGCTTAGGTAAAAGAGGGGGGGGGGAGTTTTGTTTTGGTTTTAAAGCACCTAAAAGTGAAACAGACTGAACAAGTCTGCAGGGCCTCCTCCTCTCCCACTTGGGTGGTATAAAGTGGCTGGCCTTGCCTGAGAAGCAGTGAAGAAGTAGCATTTTAAGAAAGGGCCTTGGGCCTAAGTCCACCTAGTGGTAGGTCTGAGGTTACATTCATGCTACACATTTATATGTATTTTATACCCCTTTAACTGTCACGGCTTCCTTTAAAGAACAGCAAGAATTGTAATCTGGCAACTGTGTGCTGAAGATTCCTCCAGCAGAAAGCGGAACCCCTGATCACAGGGTTGATCCCTCAGCAATAGGGGGAAACAATTCTGTGTTTTAAACACGCCGTAAATGGATGTTTTGCCCATAGCTGTCAACTTTTCCCTTTTCTTGTGAGGAAACCTATTCGGAATAAGGGAATTTCCCTTAAAAAAAGGGAGACGTTGACAGCTATGGTTTTGTCCCATGGTGACACAGGGCTGCGGTGTAGGAAGTTCTTTACTCCACCCAAATGGGGCCTGAAAAATTCCAAACTCATAAGAACTTTAGAAGATTGAATAACACCACAGATGCTTCCTTTAAAATGCAACCTTTTCAGCTTTGGATATCTTGTTCTCACGTAATTCTTTGGATAATAAAGGTTGTATATAATGCTAAATGTACGCAGAGAAGACCCACTGGAACTGAGAGACATGACATAGGCTTTGTTCACATGGCTGTTTATTCGATTTCCATGACTTTTCTCAACTGTTCCACATTACATTTGAACTTTCACACTTCCAAAACCCACTTCCAAAACTAGTGGAATATAGTGGAACTATAATGGAATACAGTGCATGTGCAACACTCAGTTGCACAATTTGCAAAAGGATTCTTGCAAAAGGAATTTGCAAAAGGATTTCTGGAATCAAATAACATGGAAATGAGCACTAAATTTGTACTAAATTCTGCTTTTGTTCCAGAAGTGGCTTTTGAGTCATGTGTAAGCTCAAGTATTAATGCAGAACTTAACAGTTAGAGAAAAGTCATGGAAATGGAATAAACTGTCATGTGAATGCAGCCTAGCTTAGGTCCATTAATTTAAATGGATCAACTCTACAAAATAGTTGTATTTGGCTACAACTCTAAGCCTGTGAGAAAGGACCATGCTGTTCTTAATTTTTGTAAAGTGCAGAGCAACTTTAGAAATTCAGTAATAAAAACCAAAACCACAATGAGCACAACTGTTATTCTATTATTACTATTAATATTATGCTCTTTGGCCACATTGAAGTCAATCTGAAAATATAGTAATGGCTAGATTCAGTCCTACTCATTTCAGTAATACTTATTCCCAGGTGGGTGGAAAGAATTAAAACCTAACTTTGTTTGGATCCTATCAATTACCATTATTATTATTATTACTGCCACTATCACCATCCACAAGGTTATCCCTCCATACACCATGCAGAGACAAGTATACAACTACCAGTGAGGTATAAGACTGGAACAAAAGTGGGTTGCTTTCTTCTTTAAAAAAAAACAAACCATTAGGAAGTGTGTATCCAACGATTAATTCAAGAAACTTATTTCGGACCAACCAGTGGAGCTAGCAGGCAACAATACAATTAAAGCTTTATCTGATTACTAATGAATATTAAAGCTCTAATGAGGATTACCCTCCAGGACCCCCCTAGCACCCTGGGTGTGGAATATTTTGCTTTAGTGAAATGGGTTCGATGAGTTGACATTTCGGTTCCTCCTGCCTTCCAAGATGTGTCAATGAAACTTCCATTGCCTCCTGCAAAGCAAAGTGAATATCCATCTCAAGGCTTTAAAATGTGGCCCAAGGTAGCCACGAAAGGGGCTTACCTGATTCCCAGCTGTTTTCTTCTTGCTCATCTGGCTACTCCTTTGCTGAGCACTACATGAGAAATTAAAAAAAAAAAGGCTGAAGACGTTTTTCTTTTCTTTTCCAGTTTTGACTCTCTTGGCTCATATGAATCCAGATTTCTTGGCCTCTACTTGAAATCCACGCTTAGCCTGAATTGCTCTCTCGGGGGGGGGGGGGAGTTTAATTTTTATCCGCCCCTCCCCACTCCTTCTGTGATCCTGATGAAAATACCCCCCCACACACACACAAATACACACTGTAGGTATTATTCCCAGGAAAGAAGTTCTCATTGCCATCACTAAGAGAACTCAGATCTTGCAACGCTCTTTCTTAAGTGGGTAACTGCTACTAATTCTCAGCACACAAGGTTCTCTGCTTGTGAAATTTAGGATATAAAGTGCTGTGCTGTATTATAACTGCTATTTCATGGGACTTCTAAAAATAATAATGGAAGAAAGGATATATTTACACATCCCAGGTGTCTTGTGCAGATGAGACTGTCACTTTTTACCAAACGTGCAAAGGAGCAGAAAAAGATGGGAATTACATTGGTAAAACTACAGGCAAAATACATCACCCAACTCACCACAAAGAACAAAACCTGGTATAATATTGTATGGAGTTCTAGAAAAACATGAACAAGGGCTCATCCTCACTTCCTGTGCCTAGAAAGCATGGGTATGAACAGTTTTACACATGATCTGTGGTTTCTAGGCATGGATTCGAGTGGTTTTGCCTTTGTCCTGCCACTTCCCCTTGGAAAACCTGCTCTTTGATGCTAAATCAGAACAAACAGCAATTAGCAGGAAACCTGCTTGCCATTCATTCCGATTCAGCCCTAAACCATGGGTTTCCCCAGGGGAAAGCAGCAGGGCAAATGGAAGTGTAGATGAGCCCAAGTCTTGTGGCACCTTAAAGTTGTTTAAGAGTTCATGGGTTAGGATCTACTTCATCAGATGCATGAAGTGTATTCCTGAGCTGATGGCAGAAAAGCTCGTGGCAAATGCAATGCAGAAGATAAAAACCATAATTAAAGGTCCCTCTAGAATCATGTTTTCTTGCAGGTCTAATTGTGCAACATGTCACCGATACAAAAATACTGCATTAGTGGCGGATTTAGTCTGGATTGTCCACACATCCTTCTGCGTTATTAGTTTTGTCATTGTATGATTGCCATCTGTAGGGGTGGCCCTCTTGCACGACAGCAAAACTAAAGTGGGACAACACAGTCTGCCCAGAACATTTTAGTCTTTAAGGTACCACAATATTCTTTTATCCTTTTTGCTGCAACTGATGAACACAACTGCTACTCCTCCAGGAAAAAAAAAACATGTCATCTCGTCATTGCTGGTACTTACTTGGCAAATCCAATAAAATCTTCATGGTTTGTGTTCATGTAGGCTAGTTCAATATCTATCAGGAGCATGACCTGGGAAGATAAGAAAGAGAGGAATGAAAAAGCTGAACCAGTTACTTGCTGGATTACTGCAATGTGCTCCACGTGGGGCCGCCCTTGGGCCTGGTTCGGAAGCTCCAGCCGGTACAAAGTATTGATGGGGATATTTGGCTGACAACATGTGACACCCTTGTTAGAGCATCTTCACTGATTACCCACCAAGCCAGGTTCAAGGTCCTTGCATTTATTAAAACCCTGAACAACTTAGGCACTGGTGAACCCTTCTATCCCAGCTCTATCACTGAGGTCATCTGCAATAGCATTGCTGGTCGTCCCCCAGATTGGCAAGTCTCATTTGACAACAAGAAACCCAGCCTTTAGTGGCATCAGCCCAGGACTGTGGAATGCTCTGCCTAGTGGGCACCTTCTGCCTCAATTTTTAGACACTTACTGAACACCTTTCTATCCCATCAGCCCCAGGCTTTGCAGAGCACCACCGGCTACAGCTCTTCCTCACCACTCCTGCCACCTCCTTGTTTGAGAGGCAGAGAGGTGGCCAGGCAGTGGCATCCGCTGGTTGAACATTTCAGCATCACCAGGGTGAAAAAACAGTTTGTGTCACTGAAGAAGAGGAGCAGATCTGTTTGTGAGAGAGGGTGGGGGAGAGAAGGGGGCCCTTTCAAGATCTTAGCCCATGGCAGATTCCCATCTGTGCTCGAGGCTGGTTGTGTATGTGTCTGTGAAATGAGAATCCCCTCCACACGCACCTGATCTTTGGTTCTGCTCTCTCGATCGCGGATGTGGGTTGTAACAATTCGTTCCATTTCCTCCCGTAGGTGTGGGTATTGGCTGAGCTGCACAGGAAGAGAAGGGGGGAAGAACATGTGCATATGGGGAAATATAGGGTGGATAGAGGCCAGGAAATTACTGCTGCTACCACCACTGTTCAGTCCTCATCAGAAGATCTGGTCGTTGGGATGGGGTGGGATAGGGGAGGTATAGAAAAGAAAAGTAGCAGAGAGATTTTCCAAGTTCCAGCCATGATACAACATTTGCTCTTCTTTACATCTTAGTCAGCATCTTGGTCTGGTTTGACATGTTTGAGAGGCAGCTTTGCTGGAACTAAATCCCCCTATTCTCACCAGCAGGAAATGTTTAGCAGAACAGCCATCTGTCAATGTGTCTTCTTAGGTTATTCTTTTGGCCTCCAGGTCTGAATTCATTTTATTTGAGGGATGTTTGGAATCTGGGCTACATGGCCAAGTTTCAACCTCCAGCAGGGGTAGCCAACATGGAGCTCTCCAGATGTAGCCAAAATGGCACCCTCCACCTCCCAACAGCCCCAACCAGCAGGGCCAATATCAGGGATGACCAGTGTTTCAGTCCAACAACATCCAGAGGTTACCACATTGATTACCCCTGCCCTACTGTGTAAGGCACATAGTAGATTCTCTGCGGAAACTAAGTATGAAGATACAAAATCTTAAGAAACGGCATCTGATGCCTGACCTCATCTCAGGATGCTACAAGCAGTGGTTGGTACAATTTAGTCAGTACAGTAATCATTAACCTGGACCACTCAGTTAATTCCTGAATTAAAGGCACTAAGGATTGAAGACTACCTGGATGTTATACACTATTGACCTGTAGCTGTCTATACCAACCATCTTTAACCCGGAATCTTCCAGATGTTTGGACTCCAGATGTGCTGGCTGGGACTAATGGGAATTGTAGCCCAGCACATCTGGACAGCAGTAGCATTCCGTTCAACACCCCCAGTTCTGCTGGGACACCCATGGAATTAGTAAAGCCAACACAATTTCTGATCTAATCCCTGGGCGCCCCGATTTCTCCCTGTAAGAGGACAGGGGCTGCAGAAGCAGTTCCTAGGATTGGCAGTGGTGCTGGGAAGGAGGCATGCTGTTTGTTTTCATCCACTCAGGGCACCTCTATGGCAGCATTTTCCACAGAGACGAGGAACTGCCTCCCGCGCTGCCAGTTCCCAGCCCCCACAGCCCTAATGGGCTAGGCTGCAACAGTTAGAATTGGTGGGAGGCACTACTGAGAGAATTCCCACCTCAGGGGCTTAAAGTGGGGGGACGGACGACCAGTTTCATGGGAATTTGCATTTAGGAATGAAAAAGCCTGGGCATCACGAGAGGGACTTAGGGCTCTGCCTCACTATCTGGGTGATGGGAAGGGACTTCTGGACAGGCTGCCCTCGTGCTACCTGGGTAAATCGAGGGCCCAGAGACGGAGGCGTGGACATGTAGCCTGCACCTCGAAATATGTTTATTCTGCTCTCTCTTTCCGTTGTCCTTCTCCAACCCTGATAAGCAGTGGTGTTTTGGTGTGCAGTCCTGCATGAGTCACCTGACTTGCACAGAATGTGGCATCAAAAGACATCATCTCAATTTTCTTCTCGGGAATGTTGGAAGATATGCAGTAGGTTGGTGCAAGCTGTTTTACACTCTGATTGTAAGTGTAAGGAGAGGAATAGCTAGTTGTGATTACCAGTGGTGAGATACAGGCATTATGCACATGCCGAAGACACTCTCCCTTACCTTTACCTTTACTAGCACTGGAAATAGTTTTTGCGCAGTTCTTTAGGAGACAGAGACCTAAAGGGCTATGCCTGATATTAATGTCTGGGTAGATCCTTGGAGAGGAAAACAGCATCTAAGCTGCTAAAATCATAAGAAATACTTTTGCTCACAATAAGGCCCGAAGCACCTGTGCACATGTCAAAACATTCCCCAGTTAAAAACAAAGCAGAAGAGTATGTAAAGTTTAAGGTGATCTACACAGATTGAGTGCTTTGCTGTTTTCTTCATTCCCGAAAAGCTGGATATTGTGAGCAGCTTGGGGGGGGGGAATGCAGAAGAGCAATGCTTTGTAAAAATAAAAAAAAGTCTGATGAAAAATGACAATTTCAGAGGAAACATCTAGTTACAGGGAACCAGGCAGAGGGCCTTCTCGGTAGTGGCGCCCTCCCTGTGGAACGCCCTCCCACCAGATGTCAAAGAGAACAACAACTACCAGACTTTTAGAAGACATCTGAAGGCAGCCCTGTTTAGGGAAGCTTTTAATGTTTGATGTATCACAGTATTTTAATATTCTTTTGGAAGCCGCCCAGAGTGGCTGGGGAAACCCAGCCAGATGGGCGGGGTATAAATAATAAATTATTATTATTATTATTATTATTATTAGATCAGAAGCACCAAGAGATTTGGTATTACTAAAGAGCTCCAAAGTCAATGTGCATTTTATATACTTTTTTTGTGGGTTTTGTTTGTTTTTTAACTTGTTTTCACCATCTTTTGAAGGGATTGGTGTGAAACTTGGGCCTTTCTAAGGCTCCAGCACCCATCAAGCTCTGAGCCAAAATGCAATGGCAAACTGAATGATTTAGCAGAGGCTGTTTATATGATGGCTCAAGAGAATCGGATGCAAGATGCACCTTTTCACAAAGTTGATGCACTAAGGGCTGATCCACACTTTTACACTTGGTATAAAGAGCCCAGAGATTCTTTAGTGAGAACTTTACTGAGAACCCTACCTGAAAGACCCACCTAAATTCTGATATCTTATTGAGGGTTTTTTTGCCCTGGAGTTCTCCCGTGAAAACTCGCTCTTTAGCCAACAATTGGAGCAAACATCAATTCAGGTTTTCAGCAGATTGACATTTGCTACAATTGAGTGCTAAAGAGTGGGTTTTCACAGGGAAAGCCCACCTTTTTGCTGCATTATTTTGTCCAGAGGCAACTATACTTATAAATATGTGCCATACCTGAGCTTTGAGTCCTACAAGAGCCTAGCAAGGGCCCTGTCCGATAGAGAAGTTCCCTTCTGGATATTTATACCAGGGGTAATATAAGATGTGTGGTCTATCAGAAGAATTTTTCCATTTTGACAGGTTGTTTTTTTCTAAGACATTTTATAGCCCCTCTTGTTTTAGTTTAGTGATTAATAATTTAAGTAATTCATGAGCTTAATTAGGATTAATAAGGACTGTGTTTTGGCATATGCATCTTTTCAAACTGCAAACTGCTTTGAAATTTTGGAACACAGGATAGACTATAAATACAGTATGCAGAAACATGCTATGTCACTTTGGCTGAAATTAAAGTAGCAGATATGCCTCCTTGACAATGGTAACTGTGAAGTTGAAATTAGGAGTGGCAATTATAGCTAATTTTGCGTGGCCTGGTACATAGCAAAAATGGATGCATTGAGAATACTGGGCATCTGAAAGCTGAACAGCATAGGATAATATTGCTTCTCTGTACTGAAGCATTTTGGTCTTACTTACAAGTTGTGTTACTGTTTTCTGTGAAACAATAAGATTTAGACTCATTGGAAAGAATTTGGTTACATTGTTAAGCAATCCATATTTTTGGTTCCAGAAGAACAAATATAAAGGCAAATATAAATAGGCAAACACTAAGGAAAAAAACTATGAACCGAACATCTCATTGCTTACTTAAATTGAAGCTGATAGGCAAGATTATAATTGAACATGACATGGTTACGGTCCTGTGCACACTTACCTGGAAGTAAGCCCCATTGAAAAGAATGAGATATGTAAATGATATGTTTAAAGCAGATGAGAAAAAAGGATTTAGTACAGAATTTTCAAGGTATGGAAAGGAATTATTGGGAAACAATGAGAAGTTATTATTTAGAATGTATAAACTGTTGATAGAATGGCACACAAAACACAAAGAAATAAAATGGGTAATGATAAAATGGGCACAAGATACTGGGCATAATATCCAACTTCTGTTTTGGGAAAAATTATGGAAGGAAGATCTAAAATTCACAGCGTGCTGTTCGTTGAAGGAAAACTATATGAAAATGATGTATAGGTGGTATTTAACACCAGCAAAATTAGCTAAAATGTATAGAACTGCTTCTAATGTATGTTGGAAATGTAAAGAAAAAGAAGGCGTGTTCTACATATGTGTTGCAAGATAACTAAAGCATTCTGCAAAATGATATATAATGAATTGAAGAAAATGTTTGAAATAACTTTTGTGGAAAAAACAGAGGCTTTTTTGTTAGGCATTTTAGGTACAGAGATTCTTAAAGAGCAGAAAAAACTATTTATGTATGCGACGACAGTAGCAAGAATATTACTGGCCCAGAGTTGGAAAGAAGATAAGGTTCCAACCAGAGAAGAATGGCTAATGAAGATGATGGACTATGCTGAAATGGTAAAATTGACGGGGAGAATAAGAGACCAGGATGAGAAGAAGTTTAAGAAAGAATGGGAAAAATACATAATTTATTTAAGAGAACACTGTAAACAACTAAAAACTTTGGCAGGATTAGAGTAATACTTGTAACGTACGAAACACAGCAGAAAAAGGTAATAATATTGTTAACAAATTAGATAAAAAATGGATAAGCTGAAAGAAAAAGGGATTGACATTGAAAACAAGAGAAGGGGGGGTAGGAAGTCTGGGGATTCTGAGAATCATAAATGTGAAGGCGAACGATATGTTTAAATTGAAATATGTTCTGTAAAACTCAATAAAACATATTTAGAAAAAAGAAATAATGAGACTTCTGAGAAAATGTGCATAGGAAGCTGTAAAGCAGTCAGACAAGGACTGGACAGCGCATACAAAGTATATTTCATTGTGAATCTTCTAAGTGAAGTCATTTTTAAGGGCAGCCACAACTGCAACATTTGACATTACCAAGACTGGGATGTCTGAATATTTAGCTGCTTATTGCTCTAGATCAGGGAAGGGCAAGCTGCAGCCCTCCATAAGAGCCTGCTGGATCAGGCCAAAGGTCCACCCAGTCTAGCATCCTGGTCCTCAAGGGGCCAACCAGATGCCTCTGG